AACTGAAAAGACTACCAAATAACTACATTTATCCTATTATGCATATAAATTAGGTTATTTACACCCAGCTATTAAAACTAAGATAAAAGCATTTCAAATAAAATGAAAATTACAAGAGCTTCACAGGACAAAACCTGATAATAACACAGAATATTTGCATAATCGTGACTCATTTGGAGCTACTGCATGCTCAGGAATGAGGTGCTATAAAAATGGCAAAGTAAAACTTCAGGCCATGAACCTAAAAGCTTGCAGATAAAAGTATTTTTTGCAACTATTTAGTTGGTCTAATAAAAGATATCACGTCTGCCAAAAGTTCTGCAAATTAAAACTAATGCATTCCTGTTTGTTGCACGTCCACAAAAATCTATTTGAATTCCTTGAGCAAGGGAGTAAGAGGACTGAATGAAACCCTAAAAATGGCTAAGAGGAGCAATTTACTCTGTTCATTTTGAATGAAACTCATTAAGACACAGCATAGGGCTATAAAAATTATTTAACAATATGAAGTGGTGACCCTCAAAACTCAAGCACCCAATGCAAGATTTCCAGGCTTAAAGAGGTGCCAAGATTTATACTAGTGTTCTGACCAGTCGGAATGAAAACAAACACTTTTGTTTCCTCTCCTTACCTGATATAGCACTTCTAAAGTGACTGGATAGAAGAGGTTTTCCACAACAATTCGGAGAACAGAACTCTGGCCTGGAAGCAGTCCACCCTCAGTAGAAGGAGCACCTGTAAGGGCCAGGCTTCCAGACTGCACAGCATTCACTGCTTGCAATGCAGCTTGAGCTCTCTGAGAAAAAGGAGGAACACAACAAGATTAGCTCACATACATGCAGGTAAATTAATACATACAAGGACAAGCAATTCCCATACAAATAAAGTATGAGGGTGCTGGGTGTTTAAAATCCAGAGAAAGTGATATTTGTATTTGGAATTATTTCCAAAATACTGTACTTCAGTAAATAAGTCTGGGTAAGCAGTAGAGTTCAATTTTTCAGGGGAAAATTATTCTATACTTGCAAAAAGTGCAAAAATGTAAGGAAATGGGCAAATCTTCAATATTTATTTTATTTATTTCTTAATTTATTGTGCATTTCAAAATAATCTTGTGCATCGTTAATCAATGTAAAGGTAAGCTAAAATTGCCAGACAACACATTATCCGTCTTAGAGTAGCTTCTGGACGCTTCAGAGTTCATATCTACACTGTGAGTGGGTTTTATATGCACTATTTAGTTGATCTTATAAAAGATATCACCTCTGCCCAAAGACTTTGCCTGCCTTTTATGCTCAGGCCAACACAGCTACCGCCTAGACCCTTGAAATATGGAAGGCATCACATTTTGCCATTTGAAATGGAAACTTCACAACCTGAAGAAGAAAAAAGGCAAATTTCAACAACCAGGACTAATTTTTAATATTGATTTTATGGCCCCCCAGCCTGGCTGACATCTGATACTTACAAGTAAACAACCTGCTTTTGTTCCTGCAACCCTCCTAAATTTGCATTCCTGAAGAGCAGCATTCTAAACCCTGGCTTTTTTTCATACCTGTGGGATTTCTGACCATCTTTCATTTCTCTCACCATTTTTATTTTTATGTTTTTGCCTGAGGAAGGATGTGTCCATCTGAAAGCTTGCAAATAACTTTTTTGCAACTATTTAGTTGGTCTATAAAAAATATTGCTTCTACCCAAAGACTTCATCTACCTAAAGCAGCAGCCCAGCACAGGCACTATGACCATCTCACTATGGAAATGAATATTTTGATTTCTGATACCGAGTTGTAACTTCTTAAAAGACTACACAGTCCTTCCCACTTTGCAATTTCTATCTTGATCACCAGAAATACACAGCACAACCAACTAGGTTTGGAAGCCACCAAGGAACAATATGAAAATATCAAATTAATCATTTCCAATGTTGCTTCTCTCTATACTCTCACAGAATAGTACATTTTCTGAATGAGTCATACAAGAATACAGGTAAATTCTTAACATGGTAGAACAGAGAATGGTGGATCTCACACACACACACACCTCCCCCCCCCCGTAGTCAGATCAGAAATAGCAGGATTGAAGTTACTCAAGAAACTATATTTTCTAAGCAAGCTAAGCCACAGTAACTCCTTGACAACAGGCAGCTCTGGCACTTCCACTTTTAGCAAAGAATGCTGATTGGAAAATACGATTAGTGCTTTTTCCTGCTAGAAAGCTCATCCAGAAATCTAAGTAGGGAGAAATTAATCCTTAGACCGACCCCTAGGAGGATCCTCCTGAATCACATCTTCCAAAGCTGTTGGTATCAACAGAACAACAATCAGAATAGTGATAAAGCAAGAAGCAAAGGGCTGGGGAAGAAACCTTGTCTTTGTCTTAAGACAGTGTTGGCAATGTTTTGGAGCAAGGGGAACTTTAACAGAGCTTAGTTCCAAGTGCAAGCCATTTCCAGCCTGGCCTGTAGTTCTGCTGCAGTCACCACTCTCCACTGGAGTGCCACTGTTCCTCCTGACTGCCTGGCTGCTGTCCTGCAGGTGGTTGGGTGACTTGGAAGACACAAGAAAAGGTGAAACCTCTCTCTACAGCATTTAATGGGTGCTTGAACATGCTAGTTTCTGAAATCCTCCAGAGTTCCTCCCTTCATGGTAATGAGTGCAGAAGTCCCAGAAAGAGAAATTATCCCTTATCCTGAGATGAAAATTTCACAGAGGAGGTATAGCTGGTCTGAGTCTCATTTTCTGTCCGAGCCTCGGTTTCTAAACCGGTTTGTCCCCTCTTACCATATCCCATAATAAAAATCTGTTCCTTAAAAATGACACTGCCCAAAGGATGCACGACTCTACTGAAGTCTTCAGAAGCCTTCCTGTAGAATACAGATTTGCCCTCTTTTATTCCAAAGTTATTTTATTTACAGATTCTATCAAAATGAGCATTTGGCAAATTCAAACGAGGGAAGCTCTTTCACCTGTTCATCTGTCCACATTCTCGAGCAAAACTACTGCAAGACCTGTCCCCTTTCTCCAATTCAGTGCACTTCTAGAAGAAGTGCATGAGATTGATTTGACCTCTTTTCTTTCTAGTATTTTTATTATGCTGATCTAAGTAATTTACTTCAAGGAAGGGCAGTTGGTGTCACTATCTGTTCTATAAAAAGAAATCCTCCTGAGGGTGACTGCCTCAGGATGGGAATACATGCAGGCTGGGAAAATAAACCAGCGCACAAAGACCTGGCAGAAGATGCCACCACCTCTTTGTTGGGTGCCCTATGGAAGCAGGACAAATTGATGTTGAAGCACCTCCTGTTACTTCCCAATTCCAAGTGAGAAGCCACTGCACTATTTGTTAACTACTACCAGTTACGAATTCCACCCATGGACTTCCAGGAAAAAAGCTGAAATCACTAGCATTTAAAGAAACATTTTGCAGATGCACAGAGTGGCAAGTCTCCATCTAAAGAAAGATTACAAAATAATTATAATTAAGACCATCCAGACAAAGTTGACTACTGAATCTGTATCAACTGGAAGTAGTTCTTTGATGCTTGCACTGGTAAACATTACAATGTACAGTACTATTCATTTTTAGTAAATAAGCAATATACTTACAGCCTGGTTAGGTAGATTGTCAGTCTTAAGTTCTCTGTGATTGGAATACTGAATATAAACAGGCTGACTGCGGAGGTGAGGTGTAACAGGAGTGTAGTAGTTCACCATAGTAACAGCAGCTTCTTCAGAAGCCATTTCTAAGAAAGCCTGCAGTTAAAAGAATAACTTTAAAAATTGTTATATTTGCCAAAGAAAATGAAGCACCATTTGTTCCACTAATCTCCCTTTACTAAAAAAAAACTGTCTCATGAAAGTATCAAAGTGTTCTGATCAGTACTTGGACCCCAAATACTCTACATTTCTCAAAATACTTTCAAGACTAGCAGTTACTTTAGGATTAACCTCTAAATGCTTTACTTCCATTATAAAAACAGCAATCAAGTGATGCTTCAAATGTAAAGCAGTGCATAAAACACAGGATTTTCCTAATAACTAAAAGAAGGTCCTAGTTTAATAAAATATTTCACTTCTTCCCCAACACGTCTAGATCCTGAATTCCAAATTACTATCAGCCTTATATTCTTAGCTGGTTTTGTTTTTGTGTTTTTGGGGGTTGGGTTTGTTTGTTTGGGAGGGTTTTTTGCGGCGGGGGAGGTTTATTGGGGTTTTTTTAATAATGAATTATGCTTATACCATAACACCTAATATGGAACTTCAAACGTGCTAGCTGCCAAAAATGCAAGGGCAACTCCATTTACAAACACACACACAATATATATAAAATGTGTGCGCATGCGTGATGGTTTAATATTTTATTTTCTCATACAAAACTGAGCATTCTTAGCACATTTTATATATACACACACGATGACTTCAGTATATATATATATTCCCAGGACCTTAAAAAACAGAAGCAGAATGCAGGGACCATCATGTTGAACTTCAGTAATCAGCATACTGCTAATGAGTTTGACAGATTCTTGGATAGAGGTACCATCTCTAACTAGCTAGTTATTTATATAAGACACTCCATTCACTCATTTTAGCACTAGGATAGTACATAAATAAGCTGATTATGTCCAAAGACATCACCAAAACAACTAAGACCCAATCATGTCAGCCAAATGCAATATGAGAGTGGTCAATATGAAAAACAACTCTAGATAAAACCTTAAACACAACTACATACCTGACTTTTTCCCTTCAGCATCAAGAGATTGGTTACTTTGCCAAAAGGGAGACCTAATGAAATGACTTCCGCTTCTGTGACATCATTTGGAATTTTACGCAGATGAAGGACACGAGAAGGGGAGCAGGGAGATCTGTCTCCTTTAAATTTCTTGTTGTCATTCCCATTAGCTAGAATATTAATAAGGCCGTAAAAACAAAAAAACAAAACGTAGTTACTAAAGAATATCCTACTGATAAAATAAATCAGATGGATTTCTCATTTGAGTGGAATTAATTTGACCCATAAGCACTTCTAAAGAAAAGCAATCAATCTATAATTAGCAGATTAAAACATAGCATTTAGAGTAGTTTAAAAGGTACTATTATACTATATCCGTTCCCAATTTCCTTTGTGCATATTTTTGGTTTTTACAACTACAGGGCCAGAACTCTCCTCTACCCCTCTTCCACTTGAAAGATGGGCACCACAAGTTAACTAACAAGACAAAAAGTTGCCGTTAAAGATGGTAAATAATATATACCATTTAATTCCTGTCTAGCACTCAACTGTTAAGTTTTCCTCCTGGACCATAAAATAGTTAGAACGGACACTGGAGTCAGGAACTAAAGCAACTAAAACTATGTTTTTTCTAATATTATGAAAAGGCTAGTATTGTTCCCCAGTGCTTATAGACAAGAAATATCCACCAACAAATAGTAAAGATGAGGCTGAAAGTGCTAACAAATAAGAGAATAAGAATGTTTCTGAATAAGAGAAACATATCAGTCTTTGATTTTAGAATGGAATAGTGATTTTAAGTAGGGGTGCACCAATAGAGAGTTTTTGGGCTGAGACCAATGGCCAATTTTTAACGTGCCATATGGGGCAATATTGATATGCAGCCGGGCAGCATGGAGATTGGGATCCACCTAGTAAGTCTGTTGTGGAAGAAGGGGCAAAGGAAGGGGGGCAGATTGAGGCCCCCGCAGTGAGGGAGGGAGTGGTGCTGGGGCAGGTGCTGCACAGCCAGGGCAGAGCAGGGGACGGATGATTCATCCAGGGAGTGCTGGGGGGGGGGGCCCCCCCGCGGGGGGGAAGTGGGGGGGCAGCTCCCACTGCTGTACATCCCCTTGAAGTGCATGGGGGGGGGGGACATGTCCCCAGATCGGCACATGGAGCAAGAGCAGGCTGCCGCTACGGGCTGGAGCCAGGGTGGTGCCAAGCTATTTCTGGTGAGGGGGCTGGGCCAGGGCTGTGCTCAGAGTGGGCAGTGGCAGTGCTGGGAGGGAACTAGAAGCCAAGAGCTGCAGCCACCCCAAAGTTTACCATAGGCCCCTCCCAGCACTGCTGCTGCCTACCCTGAGCGCAGCCTGGCCCACAGCAGTAGCCCACCCCACCCTGCACACAGATCCAGGGGCAACCCCCCTATGCCCTCCTGGGGTACATGCAGTGGTGGAAGCTGCCTCTCCCCCCCAAATGAGCTGCTTGCAGATCTGTCCCCCACTCTGTCTTGACTGTGCAGCACCTGCCCCTTCCCCACTCCCTCCCTCACTGCTGGGGCCTCAATCTGCCCCTCCCCCACCCCACCACTCACAAAAGACTTACCAGCTGGACCCAGCTACTCTCCACCGTGCTGGGCTGCTCTCCTGGCCACCTGCACGCTGTACTATGGATGCATGCATGCATGGGGCATTTACTGGCCACATCAGCGAAAAAAAGCTGACTGCTGATGCAGTCAATGTTCTTTATGTCAGTGCCAATCCAATACAGGACCGATGTTACGGTGCACCTCTAGTTTTAAGTTCACTTTGTATATTATATAATATGTAATGTTACAAATGTCTTATAATAAGCCATCAGCTGTGAGCAGTTGGCAAAAAGTGTCTTATATTTCTTATAGCCCGCCATAGCAGAGCTTGGTTTCTTAAGGCACATCATAAACTGAAGAATGACCTGTAACGTTTTTACTTGCTCCCCAGCATCTTAAGTTTGAAACAACCTTTCTAAACTCTAGCAAAGTAAAACCAGTGCCTACTGGATTATGTATGCACCCTGTGCCCCCTAGCTACAAGGATATAAAGGGCAGAGATATCGTAAGTCTCTCAATCCAGTCAATAATACAAAAACCCAAGAACTCCATGAGTGTGGAAGGAAGACAGATCACAGAAGTCACATGGACAAACACATCTCTAAGAAATGTAACTGCTGCAGGTCACAAGCGTTAGAGGTGGCCTGTGGGGCCCCTGAAGAAGCTAGAAATTCAGGGGGAGAACCCACTGATCAATCTGGGTTATGGAGTCAGGCTAGGGATCTATTCCAGTGGTTGTGGGATAAGCAATAGCTGCACTAACCTCTGCAACTCCCCAAAACCTCTTGGCCCACCGCTAGTAGGTCCAGATCAAGCCCGGAGGGAGTTGTGGGGGAGAGAGTGGACAAGTGTAACACTTCTGCTGTTAGTCAACTAGCTTCTTTGATTATTTGTCCACATGCATTCCAATGTAGGTATATAACTACCAGTCACATCAAGGAGGTGAGTGATCAGAATCCTATCAAAATAAATGTAAAAAGTGTTTTCAAACCAGGCATCTGATCAAGAAGTTACCCACAATGGAATTTTAATCGGTAAATATGTGAAATGAACTCCAAGCAACTGTCCTGCAAATCTCAGAAATAGCAACCCCCCTAAAAAGAAGCAGTGATGTTGACTGAGCCCTCTAAAGGTGTACATAAAGAGGAGGGGACAAGGGAGGAGTTTATTTGACGAGAAGGAAACTTCAGCCTATTCCGTAACTACTTGAGAGAGTCTGAGGGAAAACAGCTTGCCCTTTAGACTTATTTCTAAACTCATAAAGCCTACATGATTTACAAAATGCTTTGTTCTAGCAAGATAAAAGCATATACTTATAAGAATATTGAGAGTGGAGACTTCAGCCTCTGCAGGAGAGTCTAAAGGTTTAGAAAAAAATATCAGGTGTGCGCCTACCTTAATTTATCTGAAAGTTGAAATAATGCTTGGTAAAAACATCAAATGGGCCTGATATTAACCGTTCTTAAGGAAAAACTGTGTATAGATAGTTTGGCATCAAAGCCTGCATCCGATTCATCTGAGAAGCCAAAGCAATATCCATAAACATCTTTTAACAAAGATCATATATAACATGGGTTCACTAACGACAGAAGCATTACATTCACACCTCACATACAGAAAAGCTCTCTAACTGGCAGAAACACAAAAAAGGCTCTTCAAAAACTTACGAATTGTTGGGTTGGAGGGGAAAAAGAGAATGACCTTGAAAAGGAGCCTGTCAGAATGCTAAAAGAGCCAACTGAAAAATCCTATTATTTTGTCTATGCAGGCAACAGCTCAAAAAGGAGAATTGTCCAAAGGCTGAATATGTCTACAAAGAGTCCACACTAAAAAACATTTCCATGTTGCACAGTAAGATCTGTCTAGCAGCAGCTGGATCAAAGCTTCTGTGCTGCTGCTGAGAATCCAAACCACATAATATAACCAGTCAACCATCAAGCTGTCACATGTAGAGTTATGATGTTCTTCATAGACTTACTGCAGTGACCACTAGAGAGCTGTGACACTGTACTGGGGGGCCGGGGGGGGGGGGGGGGGGGGGGGGGGGGGGGGGGGGGGGGGGGGGGGGGGGGGGGGGGGGGGTAAGGAGTCTTGCAAAGCTCGCTTTGTCACCAGCTGATCTTCTGTAGTCACAGACCTCAGTAACTCTCTGGTCTCATTACAAACTTTTTCAGCCAATTGTAGAAACTAGTATCATTGCAAAGCATCTTGTTATCTATGTTAAACCAACAAGGTTTCATAGGCAGTATATGAATTTGAAAACTAAAAAAAAGAAGTAAGTTTTTCTCTCCAAGAAAACCTGTTTTCGTGAAGATCTTGCCTCCAGGTAACAAGTTTAAGGCGGGGGGGAGGGTTCCTCCAGGTAACAGACATCTTGTCAGCTGCAAAGAGTCAGGGACCAGGTTCATATTCTGAAGTACTCCTAAACCTTTATGTGACTTGGCACCTCCCCATCTGTCCTTGTAGATATCACCAAAGTAGATCCTGGGGTCTGCCATGTATCCATAATGTGCTCAAGAGTGCCCTTATTAACAGGCATGACTAAACAGCTTTGAGGTAACAGGCACAAAGTTCAGGATGGAAATCTCAAAACTGCCTGCTATTCTTCTAGGGAACTCATCCAAGACCCTGAAAACAGTCTACTGAGGATGTGAAACTAATCACAGCTTTACTTAGCGATGGCAAAGATAGGGGCAATGGAACGTGTTGATTCTCACGTTCTTTACAAGATTTCTCCTCCCACTGACACAGAGCTCTTGATGAAATGGCTGATGAAAAAGTAACCACCTTCCACCGTATTGAGAGCCAGAGTGAAGAAAAAGAAATGATAATCCCACTGACACCAAGATAGCAATGACTCCACCCTTATGTGAAGGGTATGTGCTAAGAAATGTTCCCCACCTTCCCCTCTTATGACAAATGTCAAGTCTTAACATCAGTCTACTTCCAAGACTATACCCAGCATTCAAACTAGGTAAAGAAGAAAATCTCTTTGGAGGAGGGACTCTGCTGCTATGTAAAAATAATGATATAGACAAAATTTTAAAGGAGACATAACAGGAAGAAACTTATACCTCAAAGTATAAGGGGTAGTCACTGACACCACAAGATGCAAGCCACTTTAGGCTCCAGTACCAGATGGATCTTAGATAAAGTAGCAGAAACATCCATCCAAGGGATGTCCATTTCTGGAATGACAGTAATTTCCATCAGAAATAAGAGACTTAGCAAAAGAAAGAAGTGGTACCACTCTAGACGGTAAAACATGTTCTGGAATTCAAAAGTCTTGTCAGGTTACAGGGTTACAGCAAAAATGTATTCTGGCATATGGCAGCAATATAATCAGCTGAAAACCTGATAACCCCTGGTGTTTGAAGACTCATGGCATTAGGTTCCAGTTTACACAAGACGGCACAATAACTTTTAGCTCTTGGCCAGTAGCCTAGTTAGTGATCCCATCTGGCCACATCTGGAAAGCTCTGTTCCTTTTTCTTCTAACCAGAAGTCACTGACTGAACTAAAGAGAACTAACAAGATGCTGACAACATCACAAAAATTAAAGCTGGATAGTCTCTCAACCTCCAAAATGGCATCTCTCAA